AGGACGCCCCCGCCCACGACTTCGTGCCCAGAGCCTGGAAGGACCCGTGGCCTCGCGCGCACCTTGGCTCCCGGCGCAGCAACCAGCTTCCTGGGAACCTAGCAGCCGGTGGTGGACGCCGCAGCGCCGCCGCCTGTCCCGCGTGGAAGGGATTCTTTCCACGGCAGCGGAGCGGCCGCGCTCGCCGCTCCCCGAGCCCGGCGACGAGCTCCCCAGGCTCCTGTTGATGTCTCCTTAGTTTCGTGAAATCCTCTCATTTCCAAACCGGGGCACGTCGGGCGCGAGAAACCCCGCACTTTAAGACGCGGCGGAGCCCTTAGGTCTCTGCCCCCCTTTCGTCGCCCCCGCCTAACAGCTCGGGTCTGTGCGCTGGGCTCCCCGGCGTGACCTCGGGGCGCCCTGCTGGTTGCTGAGCTCCGGCTCCCGTCACCCCGGGCAGCTCTACCTCGTCCTGGGCGCCGCGTGTTGGAATCGACTCTCGGGCATTGAGTGTGGGTTTTTTAAGTGAGTTGCGACCATACGTGGCCCTAGTTCCCGCCTACCCCTTCTTTATTTTTTTTGGGGGGTGGGGGGCCTCCGAAAAAAAAAGCAGAAAACCTGCTAGACAAATTCTAAAAGAGCTGTAACACTCCTACCCCTTTAAAACACACTTTCTCCAGAAGCTGCTCCAAAGAGGTCAAGCAGAATACAGGGCATAAACCCTGATGTAGACTATTGGTGAGAAAACTTACTCCGATGGTAAACATCACCTAGAGAGAAATAAGAATCCCACGAAATGAGCCCGGAGTGGGTCGCGCAGGGTCACGGCTGTCGGCCTGCCAGTGAGAAGGGAGTGAGACCTTAGCTCAGAGGTTGGTATGCCTGGGACAAAGAGGAAGGAAGAGATGAGCCTGGAGAGGTTAGCAAGAGTCAAATTCCAAAGGGCCTGTGTGTCATGCTAAGAAGTAAGAACTTAATCCTGGAGGTGCTGGAGAACAAAGGGTCACTTTTAAGAATGGGAAGGTCTTGAATCTTTCAGGGAAAATGCCTTTCAGATCAAAACCAAGCTCACTGCTCTCAATTCCGACTTATAGAGACCCGAAAGGAAGGGGAAATGCCTTAGGTAATGGGGAATTCCAGAACAAACCCTCGTCTCATTGAATTGCAAGTAGTGAGCTGCTAGGAATTTTCAAATTGCTAATGGGTGAGCAGGTTTGTTTTTCAGAAAATAATTGCTAAAAGTAAAGTTTCATAGTAAAATTACATTAAAATGACTCATAATTCTACCAATGACAAACACTACACCTTAACATCTCAGTTTATCGTCCTTCGTAGGACAAATGAGCATTCCAGAGGATTTCTCCATGACCAGCTGTTCATCCTTCTAATAGTATGTCACTCTTGCTCATTTGAAAAGAATACTTTAAATCTGTGCTTCAGTCTCAGAAGGCAGGTGTAGATGGGGAAAACACCGACTAGATTGGGTTAAAATCATTGTTGTTTTGAACAAGGGGTGGGGGACAGACTAAGATGTAATCTGGAAGCCCAAGTCATGGTTTCTGAGAAGAAACCATGTAAATTCGGTGCTTTCTAAACTGCAGTGTATCCACATGCTATACATATATTGCCCTAAGTTATCTCAGAATGTCTAGACAGTGAAATTCACAGAAAATGCATTGTAAGGCAGTAATTATTCCTTTTAAAAATGAACAAGAGAATTTTGGCTATAAGTATAATGAAAAACAAATGTCGGGGGTTTAAGTGGAGAGAAAATGTTTTGAGAAACGATGTACAAATGCGCTTTACACAATTGATGTGTGTATGGATTGGGATAACAGTTGTATGAGCCCCTAATAAAATGTTAAAATAAATAAATAAATAAAAGAAAAAGGAGAGGGTGCACAAGCAAAAAAAGAAAAACAAATGCCACTGTTTTTAAGTTTAGTAAACTAAGCAAACAATCATTGTTTTGGTGAATTTGAAATGGCAACTTCAAACCACTTTTTGTGGCTGTTTGCATCAAAGTCATACTTGCCCAATTGGCAATACCTGTCACAATTGATTGTTTTGTCCTTTGTCACAGTTCATCATTGGCTTCTAAGACATGGTTTGCCTTCCACTTCCCTGACCAGTGTCAATCTTTCTTAAGTTCCTCCTCCTTTCCCATCCTTTTAATGTGCCAGTGCACCTGTTTTCCATCCTTGGTTCTCTTTACATATAATCACTCTTTTGGTGATCTCATTGCTTTTGAAACTATCCACATGCCAAAGACTCCCAAATTCATGCCTCTCCTTTATATGCACTTATTATCCAGGAATGAAACAGAGACGACCAACGTTTAAAAATGATACAACTGACATTGAAAGTTCCTGAATAAGAAAGACTGGAGAAGACCTGATGCATTTAGACTATTGAACATCCCACGGGCACTGCCAGGACAGACAGTACAGCCAAAATGCTGTTTAGAAAGAAGGATGGTGAGACTTCATCTCACATTATCTTGGACATGTTATCAAGAGTAACCAGTCCTTAGAGAAGGGAATTATGCTGGATAGAGAGCCAGCAAAAAAAAAAAAAAAGAGTAAGGCCCTGAGTGAGATGGATTGACATAGTAGCTGTGTCACTAGGCCCAAACCTAGCAGCGATTGTGAGGGCGGCACAAGACTAGACTGTTTGGTTCTGTTGTCCATAGAGTTGCTATGGACAACACTCATGCAGGCATCTAATAACAACAGCAACATGCAGGCCAGGGAATGCGTCCGACTGAACACAGTCACTGAGTCATTCCCCAGGGAGACGTGGCTGAGGCAATTTAAAGTACTAATGAGTGAGATTCGGAGTTTTGGTTCTATGACTAAGATGGAGGAATCTGTAGGCTATGCACCATAGGTTGCCAAACTTAGGTATTTGGCATATTACCCCCTTTTCAGAATACAGATTCTCAGTGCCCTCGTGGCAATTCAAAACATTTTTAGTTTAGCACACAATCTAGGATAAAGTGTAGATAATCTGATTTTCCAGCACCCCCCAGGGGGCAGCATCACCCACTTTGGGAGACACTATTACAGACTACTGATTAAAAGAAGTTCAATTGTTTATGTGATAGAACTGGTCTGGTACGTTTCTGAAACACCTGTGTTTCAGCGAAGCTCACTAAAACCTGTTCCCCTTGGTGACCCTGCTGAAACGCCAGTGACAGAGCGGCCACCACCACAGCGGCTCACCACCACAGTAGACAAGCTGACAGACAAGCAGTGGTCTGAAATGCCAGGGTCACCGAACGTTTAGTTGGTTCAACAGCTCAACAACAACCTTCAAAAATGAAACAGTCTTCAGTTTTCATACATCCCCAGTACTACTATAATCTGCACGGTTTCCATTTACACTTCTCCATAGTGCTGTTTGATGTCTAATAGAGAATTCAAATTCCTGATCTCCAACCTTCAACCTAAGCTGTGCTACCAGAAGCCTCTCCCTTCTTAGTAGATAGCAATCCCATCAGTACAGTTGCTCAGGCCTTTAAAAACCCTGGACCAGTATGGCTCTTAAAGCAGGTGCAAAGCAGCCCCATGCTTTAGAGACCTTGCTCTTTAAAGGAGCCAAAAATGCCATGCATACCTGGAATTTTAGACTGTACTCTATGTACTTAAGAATCAAAATGGCCAACTGATCCT